GAGCTGTATGAGCTACATGTAAAGTTGTGTACATCAACAAAAGTTCCTGAAACCCCTGCAATGGATCCGTAATACTTGATCAGGCACACTGTATATTACAGTGTATATTGATCTTATGCCACATTCAGACTGCTTTCTGTATTATCACCTTAGAATTGTCTATTTATATCGGAACTTATGAATACATAATCAGCTAATGTTTGTATAATTACTGTCTATCTCTGTTTCACATCCATGTAAACTGTAGGGTCCGTTTGAAACAAGTGTGTATTACCTCATCCCTGGCCGTCACGTCTGCCCCATGACGGATCAGAAGCTTACAAGTCCCGGTGCGGCCCCCAGCAGCAGCCCGATGCAAAGGTGTTTCCTGGAACTGTACAGGGAGGAAGGTCAGGGTCAGTAGGGATGGGTTCAACCCGGTCAACAGTTATCACGTGGGTAACAAGCAGTATCCTATTTATCATGCTCGGCCATGGACCTCCGGTATGAAGTTATGCGGAAATAGTCGTCTGAAGCCAAAAGTTGACTATGCGCTGAGGCGATTGCCCTAAGCGGGCGCCCATTCCCACCCCAAGCAAAACCCGTCGTGGGTTGGGTGGGTGGGCCGCTTTCGGCTCCAGACGCGGACGGAGGCCCCTGGCCTGACCCGGAAGAATGACGTCATGCTGGTATTGCATTGTGGGTGATGACGTCATACCTTCCGGCCCAATAGCCGAGCATGACAAATAGTATCCTATTTATCATGCTCGGCCATGGACCTCCGGTATGAAGTTATGCGGAAATAGTCGTCTTCCACCTTCACCCTTCTCTGGCTGTTGATCCCTTCCTTCTTCTCCTACCAGTCTTCCCAATCCTGATACACTTTCCACACTCTTTCCTCACCCCTTCCTCATTCTTCCTCTCTCATCTTTCCAATCCTGATACCCTTTCCGTGCACACTCTTTGTTCCCCCCTTCCTCATTCTTCCTCTGTCATCTTTCCTCTCTCACCAAGTCCCTTATGAGATCCCTCTCATAACCTTCACTCTGCGGTACGATCGCTCTCATCCCCCTTTCTTTGACTCCGATTTCCTACCCCCAATCTCATACTGCCTTGAAACTCCGGCATCCAACCTAGTCTCGTAACATCACATTGAACCATCTTACCCCACTCTAATCTTACTCCGGCTTCCTACTATCACTCTAGCATAAAACTACCCGAGAGAAAATCTCCCCGTCTGCGTGGTGTCCCGTCCAGGGAATTTGCAGATTATTGACCTTGAACTTGAACACTATCTCCCGCCACCAGAACGTCTTACAGTAACTTCAGCCCTCTACGCGGCTTACATGCGGCCTCTCGCATGCGGCCTTGCCGCCTACCGGTTTCCCCAGCCTTCTGAATTACTGGCACGCGGCCTCCCGCCGCACTATGAACCTTACGACCTTCTCGACACTGGGCCGCGGCCACTCCACCGCCTTACAGTTCCTCCAGCCCACTTTCCTCTCTCTTATATTTTC